GCAGAACATTGTCCCGTTCACTTTTGAAGTTCTGAGCATGATCATGTTAAGAACAGGGCTCATGTCGCTGGACAATCCACACGCACGCGGTAACGGATTGCAGATTTGGCTGCGTACAAGGGCTTGCCTGACCTCTGTGAGCCTGGGATTCACACATTCCGCCAAAGATCTAGTGCCATCTCAGAAATCCTGAAGAGCGGCATTTGTATTAGCAACAGCCGCTGCCGCTGCAGAGACACAGCGGCAGAAGAAGTGCCTGGCCTTGGCGGCAAGTGCTGTGTCCTCTATGAAAGAAGGGCATCACACATGTCGAGAGACAAAGAGGGCTCGAGATAGCACCACACTCTTGCGAGCGCGCGGGCTCTGATGCAAGGCTTGTGAACACCTTCGAGAACAACCCTCTGCTCTACCGCAAGGAGTGGTGTGACTTCTTCCAGGAGCAAGGGGTGGTAGTGCAGGCCTGCTAGCAAGATGAAGCATTGCAACATATCGCCGCGCCTCTCCTGTTTTCCAGGATTTCCGCGTGCATAGGCCTACAAGCCGCTGCAACGAGGAGGCCAGCAGCTGAGAGGGGCTGAGTAGTCTCGAGCCTTGAGTCCTCCAACATCTACTCTCTTTGAGGACCAGTGCTGAACTGTGAAGCAGTGCAGGAGGTTGCAGGCGTGAGTGGGGCTTTCGGGACTGTTTGTGAGTTGTGAAGCTTGCTGCAGCTCAGCTCCAGGGAAATCCGGCCGAAGTCCAGCGCAAGTCTGCTTGCGATGGAACTTGGAGAAAGGTGCCCGAAAGCCCTGCTCACTCTACATGAACCTGAATGGTTGACATCAGGCAATGCAGTTGTCTTCAAGAGCCTGACTCCCTCCAGGATCCGTGAGAATGCTTGGAACCTGGCTGGAATTTGCTGAGCTATCTGAGCCTAAGAAGTCCTTTGATGGCTGTCAGGTGGAGGTCTTCGACTTCGCTTTAAGCCCAGGCCAGGTGGGCACACTCGATGCGCTGACCACGGAGGAGGTCAAAGCGGAAGCGCAGAGCTCCGGCCTCGATGGCCTCGCGGCTCGCAGGGAAGGGAAGCAAAGCGAGCTTTTCGGCCGAGGCCACTGGGAGCAGCGCCGTAGCGGCACGGACGCGCCCTGGGGGCCTGGCTTGAGGCCCGAGAAGCGGATGCTGGAGGCCGGTGCAGTGGGCGGTGAACGGACCGGCTGTGAGGGGACGTCCTTTGATGGCCAGACTCGGAGGCGTGAGAAGACAGCTTGCGGCAGCTTGCGTAGGCTCCAACCTGAAGCAGGAAGCGGGCCGATCGAGTTGCATGGCCGTTGATGTTATGAGCTGTTGACATGTTCACACCCAATCTTGAGCTTTTGCAGCCATGCTTGAGCAAGGTTTGCTGTGGCGTGCTACATGAGGAGTCTACCGGCGGCAAGAGCTCAGAAAACAGAACTTGTTCCTGGCTGCCTAGCAAAGCTGTCATGATGCTGTTCTCTGCCCACCGGCCTACCGCAAGTGGTCGTCCTGCAAACCTCAGCTGCCCTCTCAGACCAAAGAGCAGCGCAGTGCTTCTCAACACCCCCAGCCGTCATTTGTCCACCTCTCAGGACACGGAGGCTGCTTGAACACAGGCTTCCCTGCCGCTATCCGAAACACTAAACCCTAAACCTCACCCCTAAACCCTCCACCCTCACTATCAGTGCCGCGCGCGAGTCAGAATGGACCTGCCCAGCTTGGCCGCTTCTGGCGCTGAGAACCCGCCAGGCAACTTTCTGCAAGGTGAGCTGCGCCAGTGATGACAACATCTTACAGGGGGTTAGTATACGGGAACCTGAACCTCGCACCTGTCATTAGAGTTGTAAACAATGACTAAAGTTAGGACGCACTGCAGATGATGTTGGTGGTAGTTTCCGAAATCTAGGCCCTCCCGAAAACAAGATTCAGCAATTACGAAGGCTACGGAGAGGAACAAGGGATTGCTCGGAAGTGGAGATCTTGGCGAGTGTGCGGGAAGCAGTCGGTTGAGTGTGGTTGTCTTGCGAGGGGCACCTGGCAGCGTTGGAGTC